GGCTCTTTTGCAATAAACGATTTCTCTTTTATTTGTCTTCCCCGGCGTCGTTCGTTGTCGCTGGTCGTTGTTCTTGGTCTTGGTCTCCTTTTGCTTTATGGTCGCATATCCTTATAATATTTTCTATAGTTGTCATCGCTTCAGCTACGGCATCTCGTTGCTCAGGACCCCCGGCCTCCATTATTCATTGTATGCGAAGCACCCACTATATATGTAGCACATACATATGTATATGTGTGTGGGGCCGATTCATTTTTTACCCTATGAGATAATAAAGGAGCAGCCGTAGCAGCAAGAAGTTTGCTTTGCCTCCAAGAAAAATGACCCTCAAAAAATCGGTATATGTGGGATTTTTGGGGTTGGAGAAATAAAAAAAGAGATGGCCTGGCCAAAGGGGGCAAATGCATTTCACTTGAAAGGCTTTTGACCAGCCAAACCAAAACCCCCTGGAAGCGAACGCAAAACACATTAGAAAATATTCACTTAGGGCAAACTATTTGCATATGAAGTCAGCCAAGTGCAACGGGGCGGATGATTGATAAATGAAGAAGTCGAGCGGGCACAAAATTGAGCAAGAAGATGGCAGATTTACAAGATGAAGGAGTTAGGAGTAAGTATGTGAAAAATGGCAAAAGAATATGAGGAATTTTTATGGCTAGCAAAAATATTACTTAATTGAAGAAAAACTATGGCCTGAATAAAATATTTAATTTGGAAATAGTATTCAATATTATCAAAATCAGTATTAAATGTTTAAAAGTCTCAATTTAAAATTAATTTAAAATATTAAAAAGTCTCAATTGAAAAGTTTAAAGTACTGGCGATTTTTTCTCATTCGACTCTTTTGTCTTCATAATTTATTTGCCATATAAAACGATTTATAGATTCCCTTCTTTCCCTATTCCCCATTTCAAATTCTTCCCGTTTCCATAGAATTTTTTTATAATCTATTGCCGCTTTTTTACTCCCCTTCAGCCAGACATCTTTTGTATAATTTAAAGCCCTGTTCAGCCCTCTTTTCCCTTGCTCTTTCGCATTGGCATCGGGGGAATGAAAAATTTAAATCGCGCATACGCCGCATTGGCCATTATTTCCACTTACAACTCTTCTCCCAAATCGCCTTCGTCTGCTAGCTTTGTTTGTACTGTATTTTTCTGGGCTTTTTCCCTCCCCAAAAAAACTGGATAACTAGACTTGGCGATAGTTTCGGTGGCTGTGTCTCACTTTGTTGGATTTTTATTGTTGCTTTTTATGCGCCATACACAAGTTTTCATTTTTATTTTTATTCTCTTCTTTATATTTTTTGCGCCGGCGAAAGTTTCCTTTTATTTATTTCCTGCCTTGCAAGTGCCTGCCACGCCCCATTTGAAATGGAAATGTTCTCAGCCATTTTATATTGTGTTTAATACATTTTAAAGGAGTAGAGATGGGGGCGAAAAGCGAATGGCTTTCAATGAAAAATTTCCAACAATCAAAAAAATTACACACATTTTTTTTCCGCCATGCCCGATAATTTATGAACTTGTCAAATGTGTCTCAGTTTTCCCCACCCCCTCGCTTTTCCCAGCCGCTTTCCCATTCGCTGTTGAAAATTTATTCATTCCTCTGCCGCTTGGAAAAAGAGTTTTATTTATTGTGATCGTGGTGGCGCAATGAAAAAATGAGAGTTTAACTTTATGCGAGATACAAAACCAAATGCATTCCGTGCAAACCAAACTGCACTCCCCCTTTGAGCAATTATCTGTGTGTGTGTGTGTGTGCGGGCTGCTGACGCCCTTCCGCCTTCCCTTTTTTGGGGCCCAAATTAAATTTACAATTTGTTTGGCCAAAGCCAAAAAAGTTCAACAAAATCCCACTGATATCGGGACAAAGAGAAATGGTTGAAATAAAGTACGCAGCCGGTTTAAAGCAAAGAAAACAAATGAATTTTTAAGGCAAGCTTGGAAACAGATTAAGATACTTTAAATAAAAATAGTGAATTTCTTTAAATATGAAATTATTGAAAAATGATTTTATTTTTTCAGAAATTGTATAAATAGATGTACCTAATTAAAAAATAAATAAAATTAATTCCGAAAATATAATTTTTTTATTATCCATTGATTTTTTTTCTTTTGAAATTATTATTAATTATTCCACCACTGCAGTTATGGCATTTGTAATTTCTTTTATTCGTGGGCTTAGTTCGGGTAATGAGGTTAATCCAATTTGAGTTGTGGTTGTTCCATTTTTGCGCTTCATAAAACGAATTTCGTTTCTATTTTTGTTTGTCTTTTTCGGTTTTTTTTTTTCTTATTGAATTTCCATTTCGATTTCCATTTGGTCGGCCCAACAACAAAAACAACGAACAATGAACTGGGACCGACTTGGCCCCTTTCACCCCCGCTGACATATTTGTGATCTATCAAAAAGCAATTCACTCAACCGAACCATCAGCATTCATTTGGATTCATCCCCCTTTCAGCCGCTCAACCATTCAGCCATCCATCAATCAATCAATCATTATGCTCATAAAAATTAGCAACATCAAGCGGTAAACGGGAACAAATGAAATGCCGCCTCAAGCCGCAAAAATGTTTGCATTAAAATTAATTACAGATGAAATCGTAGCCCAGAAATCTACGGTTGATGAATACAAATTGTGTGGGCGGGGGTCGGCGGTAAAATATGGAAGCGCATTACGAGAAAGAAAAGGGTTATGTTACGGCAACGGCATCCCACGTGGCGTATGCGCAACGCCCTTAGGAACGGCCCTCTGGCGACCGTAACAACTAAAAATCCATCAACACTCTCGTCCACGCCCCCTGGCAAAAATGGGACACATGCTGTAGACTTTCACACAACATTGAAAGGTGTTCTCTCCCCTTTGACGGACAAATTGGAGGGCAAACAAAAAAAACCAAGGTCCAAAGACGAATTTTGGATGATCTTCTATATAAAATCAAATTTAATAGAATAAAAAATGCTTTAAAAGTTTTATTACTAAATATTTACGAGTTTGAAAATTTTTTAATAATTTGTAAGAATAATTTAAAAAAATTTGTAAGTATTTAATATATAAAATAAAAAATATATACAAAGAAACAATGGAATTTACCAAGTAAAATTTATAAATAGCTATAAACATAAAAATTTTCAGCCGCACTTAAAAACATATTGAAGTTATCAGCAAAAAAAAAAATAGAGAAAAATTGTGAAATAAAGTTATTTCCAAGAAATGTAATGAAGTGCCCATAAAATCCATAAACGCACAAATCAGCCAATCTTATTTAATTTATCTGTGGGGCCACTTCATTCCTGGAATTTGCTACGAAAAATGTGTTCTTCTCGAGAGCGAAGGGATTTTTTTGTTTTTATTGTATTTATTGCCGCCGGAGTCAAGTGAAAAACATGTGATGTGCGGTGGGAGGAGGAGGTGGGAAAAGTGGGCGTGGAGCTGTTGGAAAATCTTACAAGCCGCCGAGTGACAAGGCAAAGGAAAAAATATGTCTGGAACGTTTGTTTTATAAACGAACATTTTTTATGGCCAGCAAAAAGGTGGGAAAAATCCACTAGATTACTAAATTGGTACTAAACTTAAATTGTATTTTATTTAAGACTTTTGTTCCAAAACATTATCTATATTTGAAAGTTTTAAATTTATTTTATTGATATTTTCTTGGTTGGTGGACTCCTCATTCCCTGTCTCGTATTTGTTTGTTTGCCTTCCTCCCTTCGGAAGTGTTTTTTTCCCAGCTCCTTCGAACTCTTTGATTTGATTAGTGCTAAACCCAAGCTCCTCGCCATCCTTCGTCTGATTGCTCTATGAATGAATCCCGATGAATGGCCATGGCCACAAAGACGAGAAATCGCTCCCCCCTTTTTTATGATTTTTTCCCTCAATTTTTCCAGCTCTGAAATTGATTTGGCTTCGTCAGCGCTTTTTCCGTATCCATATATAGATTTATATATATAGATATGTGTTCAATTCTGGCTCTGATTCTGGAATTAGCTTGTTTCCTGAGCTGTCGCACATGTGACACGAATTTTCAGCTCACAAATTGAGTTACGAAAGTGGAATGATGTTAATGAAGCGCCGCCGTGTGCTTTTCGATATGTGCGAAATTTTTTGATTTTTCACTTATATATTTCCCGAAAAAAAACGACGACCTTTCAGGTTTTTTCTACTTTGTGTGATTTTACAGCTACAAGGGACATTTTTTACAGATTTTTTAAACGGTCCGGGAAAAGTTGTAGAAGAAATTGAAGTAGTACTGAGTTTTAATTTAAAAATTATAGAAAGTTTAAAAAATAAAAACAATTTTAATTGTTTAAAAAATTGTATTTAACCCAACTTTAATATTAATATATTATTTATTAAAATTTAACATTTATTAATACATTTTGTATTGAGTTGTAGAATACATTGAAGTGGAACAGAGATTTAATTTACTAATTATAGAAATTAGAAAAATTAAAACATATTAATTGTTAGAAAAATTTAATATTACTATATTATTTTTTTACAAGTTTGATTTTCCTTGAAGATTTTCGGTATCTTCGTTTAAATCAGGCATTTCTCACTTCTTCCACTCATTAGACACCCATTAGTCAGCGTAATACTCGCGATGATCTATGCCAATCTATTCCGAAAATCTTTTTCGGGGGAGGGAACTTTTTTCGGTTCAATCTACCGCACAGTTGCGACTCATTAAGAAATCATTTTTCACAAGGAGCCAAACAAACAAAACGGGGCGGCAACAACAAATAAATAAAGACAATTTGAATGGAGAGACCAGAATAAAAGAACCGAAAATCATTTGTCTAAGAATAGACTCTAAGGGGCACACAGGCACACTTGTTGAAAAAATAAAGCGAGAGCGAGAGGCAAGATGCCATGACCTCTCATACATTCTCCAGAAAATCTATTCCCCTATTTTACATAGCATATCTTAAATTCCGTTAAATTACTGCAGATAATCCCAGAGATCTTCAATGAATTCCCCATTCAATTTACTTACCTTATTTTCTTTTCGGCTGCCTCTACGATTGATGATCCATTTATGTCCTTGGATTTAGCATAGTAATTTATTATTAAATTTAATTGAAACGCGAACTAAACGGCGAATTTTACAGTATTTTATATGGGTTATTGGTTCTTCTTCTCCTCCTTAGCACTTTTTGCACATTGATCTCTTTTTATTATTTTTTCTCTCGCTCACTTTTCGCCCTTTTTTTGCGTGTTTATTTTTTGACTTTTGTTCATTCGATTTTTCCTGCCCTTTGTTTGCGTGTAATTATTATACGCTTGTTGTTTTGTTTTGCTTTCGCTTTGTTTTATAACTTAAATGCAATTTGTTCTAATTAATTTATATGATATGTTGAATTAATTGCATTTTACTTTCGTAATATATTTGGACTCTATTTCAGTCTATTTGAGCTTTGTTTACTATTATGTAATTAATTATCAATTAGTTTTTATTAAGAATAAAGTTATTTAAATTTGAATTTGAAAATATTTCAAATATAAGAAGATTCTCGTAATAATTCGAAATTTCTCTTTCTGCACTTTTTCTAGTTTCTCTAGGCTTTCTGTCTTAAAAAAGGTCTTCGTGCTGGAAAGAGAAAGAAGAAGAGTAATTAGTAAGTAAGTTTGGAAAAAAGTTCCCATTTAATTGGAATTTTATATTTTTAAATTAATTTTTATTTTTAGGGCAACTTCCTGATTTTTCATTATTTTCTTCTTCTTGACCCAAAGACAATGAAAGAGACAGGCAGACAGGCGGCGGCGGTGTGCGAAAGAGAGGCACCGAATTTGTTGCCGTTCTCCATTGAATTATGCTGCAATAAATTTCACCTCATAAGCCAATAATGACGAAAACTTTTGTGTTGCACATTTCGTGCCATGCGGCTGGCCTACTCCTGCCACTCCCCCTTTTCTCTTCTTTTTTTCCGGCTTTTTTCCTCGCCGCCCCATCTCTACTAGCCCCATCTCTGTCGCACTCAGTTGCTCCTCCTTTGTGCCGCCTGCCTGCATAACAATGTCCTACATTCCCAACACGTACCATCGACAACGGCAACAACAACAGCAGCAACGCTTGGATGCTATTTAACAAGCGAGCAAAGGGGCGTGGCACCACCCCATTCCACCACCCACAGCCCCATTTTCCCGGCGATGTGCGAGCGAGATAGACAAATGCGAAAATTGCATACGAAACGTAACGAAAATGCAAAGCCCAAAGTTATTGAGACAGAAGAGTGGCGGAGAAGTGGAAAATCGGGCTTGTCAGACTTATATATATATATATCTCTTTATATATATGTATATACCATATGCATATGGCCATATCTGTGTGCCCGGCGCATATACCCCCATATGCATATGCGGGCCGTGATTAAAGCCAACTTAAAGCGAAACTGCAAAAAGGCAAGCGAAAAGTTGGTAAGAGATAGCGCAAAAGAAGCGGTGAAGAAAAGAAAGCAAGTTTCTGCAAATTGAGACAGTTCACTGGGAGAAACAAAACAGTTGGAAATAACCATTAATAAATTAAGAGGAAATCACTGAAAACTGCGTTGCATTGAAGCCTGGGCACACTTGATGTGTAGTGTGACCATATATTTTCATAATTTCTATTTAATGAAGCTTCAACAACATTATATTAATAAATGAAGGAAAAATCACGTAAAACTTCCTTGGATAAAAGGCTGGGCACACTGGACCATATTTTTGTTAGTAACAGCCGAGGCTTTGATTACTTTTAACTATATGATTTTTGAATTTCAATTTCCACAAAGACATTGCAGATTTTCTCACGTGTTGTTGTCTCCCAGCGGCAAGGTGACTGCATAATATATGCACACATCGCGCCTTCCACTGCCATTTCGCCTGGCCCATTCCCCAAACGTTTGATATACGGTCTAGTACAGTTAAGTAGTCACTATATACGATGGGGCCAGCACAAACATTTCCGGGCTGCTTTCGTTTTCAAGACAAAGCCAAAAGTCGAACTTCTTCTCGGGGGCTGGGGGCCCATGAATCTCGGTCACGAGGCGGAGTTCAGGGGGCTGATGGCTCTGAGCGCTTTGATGGAGAACTCTGGGCGACATAAATTGGCGGCGGTTCTCTATGTATGAAAAGGCATGCCATTAAATAAATATTGTGTAATGCGCCCATGTCTGTCCAACATCGTCTCACGTACATCGTATGCCAAAAGCACCCTTCTCGCAAACTATGTAATTAAATTTGGTGTTTTTACTTGTCTGATTTAGTTAGTTTTACCAATTTGAATATGGGTTCGGGACAGAGAGAAGCAACCCCATTTGCGCGACCCTTTCACGCGGTTTTCATTCGGCCTTCCATTTGGAAGCCACTCGCAAAAGTTAAGTGGAGAGGATTTCAATTTGAGGATTTGCCTGAAGTGAAAGCAACTGAAAATTATGGAAAAATTATGCCACTTTTTTTAAACCAAAATAATACATTAAGTTAATTAGCCCATATCTTCAGATAACTTTGCCCCAGTTTAAACAATAATTGCGGAATAAAGCTGGGATTTTCCAAGCCATTAAAACAAGCAACTATTTACCGCACTTAACCTATACTTTGGCATTTTTTTTTCTAACCATTAGCTCTTCTTCACTTTCCTTTACTATCATCTAATATATAAAAGCTATTCTATTTTTAGCTAGACAATTTTTCATCTTCATTCAAGCACTTTAACTAAGTTAGTGCATCGTTATGTACTCTCTCTCCCCGCTTAGCCACCCATTTTCCTTGCTATTCATCGTCATCGTCATCACGAGGCACGCTTATTCACACTTATCGAAGCATACTTATGGGCGCAGGCGAAGCTTAAGTGCAACATTGTTGCTGTTGGCATCACGGAGCAAAAAAGTGTCCTTTAATATGGGTTTTAATAAAATTAAAATTTCAGTAATAATCTTAGGATAATTTAGCGAGTAAATGTTTGTCATTGATATATAAAATAATAATTTTATTTTTATAGTTATTTTGAATAAAAGTTAATTAATTAACCTTGACAGCATTATTTTAAATCTCTTTTAATGGTTTTGAAATAATTATTTCTTTATATGGAAAAAATAAACTTTGTAGTATAACATTGCATTAATTAATTAAGGAAACATTACTTAAAGCTGCGTTATATTGAGGACTAAGCACACTTGATGTGTAGTGTGGCCATCTTTTTGAACAATATTACAATTAATTTAGAAACTCATAAATGTGACAAATTTGTAATAAAAATTCTAATTTCGCTCGCCATAATTATTAGAATGAAAGTGAAATATTTATATTTGACCTAAATATTGGTGCCCATTTCGTATTTTTGTAAGTGTATACCAGCTGGTGTTGTTGTTGTTTGCCGTGGAGTGTAAAAATTGTGTGTGTTTTTGTGCGCTGCCTCATTGCATTTTCGCTTTTTGGGGGCATTCGCTTGATTATGTATATATATATTTACCCTAACACATTGAGCGGCGATGACGATGGCGATGGGTAGTTGGCCTGTAATTGCTATTTACACTGCAACACAGATACGAAGATCCTGGCACTCACACACACACACAGGGACATTGGAACACATAGACAATTATGCTTGTGTGTGCCTGATTTGATGGCGATAGCAGGCCAGGCCAGGCCAGAAACCAAATCAAAGCCAACACAGCAAACAAATAAATACAAACATAAAGGAAGACACACACACACACTTAGATGGTACACACCAATACAAAGAAGGCGAGAGGCCATGTGCATGTGTATGCAAAATTTTGCAATGGTTTAATGCGCGCGACCTAAAGACCATTTAAACTAGGACAAATGAGGCCAGGCGCAGGACCCGAAAACCCAAAACCCCAAACTGAAAACCCAAAGCCCGAAAACTCAAAACCCAGAATCAACAATCGCAAAGCCCAAATCCGTAACTGAAAAGCCCAGATCAACAACAATGAAAGGATATGTCGAGACGACAATAAAGGAAGTCACTTTTGTTTTCAGTCCGCATTATTTGCCATTATGCAGTGTGCAGTGTGCCATCCTATATGGATTTTTTTTTATTTCAGCTGGCAGGCTTAAAGCACAAAAAAAAAACAGTAAAAACCGATAGCGACAAATTCGCGACACGTTCGTTCTTCTTCTTCGCTTATTATCCTGCCATCTGATTTTTTCCTACGTCCTGCAATTTTTGTTTCCTTTTTCCTGCTCGTAAATTAGGTCAGGCGAGAGCAGTGACAATAACTGACATGCCATCTATAACAAGAAGTCGACTTATTGGTTACCAAAAATATCGAGGAGAAAACAAGAAGGGAAGGAAGAACCACTAAGGTATATTGTTTAACCCTTACGATTTATGGAAAGTGTTTAACATATTCGTAAGAATTACAATCCTTTCATAAGCAAAGAAGATGATTAAAAAGTATTAACACTTGGGGTAATATTTGATGATAAAGAAAATAGATTTGTATAATTTTCTTGAAATAAATCATAGAATAGTATTTTTAAATAATAAGTGAGAACTAGGAAAGTAATTTTTTTGGCTATTACGATTTCTAAAAACTGCTAAAAATATTCGAAAAGAAAATATTTTTTTCCTGAAATAAATCAAAGAATATTATTTTTAAGTAATTTGAAATACTTTCTAAGGGACTTCTAACCATCAATGAAAAACCCGAACCAGTAATATTTGTCTTTCAATAAAATAATATATTATAATTTAACAAGAATACCCTGTATAAAACAGCACCGGAACATTTTGATTACTTTTCTGAATCTGACAATTTCTCTTCTGCCCGCCTGACCAATTGATGAAGCCAGCATCATGAGTAAATTTATTTCATTTTAATTTATTTATAATATTTTTCAACCATTTAGTTGTTCGTTTTTTTGTTTTTTTTTTTTATATATTTATATTTTATTTTATTTGTTCTGCCGCCTTTGTTGTTCATTTCGTGTGTGACTGTCTGTTTTTTTTACTTGAATGGCAATTTTCACTTTATGGACATGATTTCCTCTCTGCGCTGCTGTTTCTGCTTATATAAATAAAAAAAAGATGCAAAAACAAAATTGAAATGAAATTTCATATGTCATTATATTGCACAATTATTCCAATTGTTTTTTTCATTTCAACTTTGCTCTGCTTCGGTTTTTTTTTCCTGGGTTTTTTACTCTATAAACCGTTTTTTGTTATTTCTGCATATTAAATGCGAAAGCGCCAACATTTGCATTAATTTTTTGTGGCCATTTTGATGTGACTGTTTTTTTTTCTGTTTTGCCTTCATTTTGATGATTTAATATGGCAAAATGTGCGGAACCAATTTCGAAGCATATACGCATGGAAAATGGAAATGAAAATGGAAAACGGAGAGGGGCTGAGCCCCTGACAATAATTATTTGTGATGGAGGAAGCCAAGTGGCCATTTCTTTGCGAGGCTCTGAATAATTTTACGATTGAGCATTAATGGATGTGACAGCATTGTTTTTAATATAAACGAATTGAACAAATAAATGGTGAAATCATGTTTTTAAATATAACGAAAATATGTTTAAGCCTGGATTGGCAATTATTTGGCCAAACGAAAGGAGATTTGTGCAGTTGTGTTCCAATAATGGAATAAATTATAGTCGAAAACCCATTTAATGATCTCCTATTTTTTATTTAAGATTATACTTTTGCATTGGCATTTGAATTGAATATGTTAATAGGTTTGTGATTGCATTTTTGATAAGTTTTCTGACCATTTGAAATTTAAAAAATAAAATCGAATATTTAGTTTTAGAAATTAATTTTTATAAATTACTTTAAAATAATAAATATAATTGTATAATATATATATTATTAGGAAACTTTTTTCTTTATCAAAAGATTACCTTTGATTGCTTTAAAAAATGATTTCTCGGATCTGTATATAAATTCTATGCTTTGATCAGCATAATAAATCTTTTAAGAATTCTCTTAATTTAATGCCACACTGGCATTGCAAAATTTCGGACCGCAAAGATAAAAAGAATTTCTCTAATTTGCACTAAAAGTCGAAACACTCGTATATCAAAGGCCCAAAGCCCTCTAAGATCTGGACAATGGGACCAGAAGAACCAGAGAGAGATGGCAATGCATCAAAAATGAAAATTATTAATAGACCGTTAGGAAAAGCCCGTTGAGATCGCGAGAGATGTTTTTGCCGCTGCGGTTCGTTGGGTTCTCAATGAGCGATGGCCAGGCAAAGATGCCGAAAGACATGAACAAATCATCAAATCAACTCGGCATTTATTTTGGAAAATATTGTAACTTTTCCCCATTTCGCTCGAATGTTTTTTTTATTTGATTTTGTTTATGTTTGTCTAGCGGCGGCAGCTGACGGCAGAGACTGTTTATAAACTTGCCTGGCTTTTATAAGGAAGATTGCTTAAATCGGAATAGTTTTAAAGTATAATTTTGGGAATATTTTTCCAGGCTTAAGGCAGAAATATAAAAATATTCAGAAAATGACAACGATATTTTTTATAGCTCGATAAAATATATTGAAATGTTATAATAATATCAAATTGTTGTTGAACAAGCAACAAGGAAATTCCGCATAAAATCTTTGCTTTAAAAATCAGCCAGTAAACAAGCCATTACAATTAAAAAGCCAATGAAAAATGTATACGATGAGCAATTGCTCTTTTTTCAAGTATTTTGGGCATATTTAATTATTCATTTGCTATTATTGAACAATAGATAAACAATTGGGGATTTAAGAGCCATCATTGCCTCATTCGCACCTTGTGATTGTTCATCAGGGCAATGGAATGCCACTACTGGAATATTTTTGCCATGGCTAAGCCATTATTTATTTTTAAAAATAATATTCTTAGATTTCCATTGAGCGCGTATATCCAAGAGCGGAAGTGTTTGGCCAAAAAATTGGCCACAAATCAGCGGACTTAGCTCATAAAAAAAGCTATAGAAAAATACACAAAACGTCCAGGGGATATAAACACACGATCTTTGGATATATCGAATGCAAAAATAGAAATATACATTTATCTGTTATAATAGATCACACACCTTGAGCCACTCACTCAGCCTCAAAGGCAGCCACTTTGGCTGCCAAACATTTTGTCCGGTTTTCCAGCGATTTTCTCTGCGTATGCTGCTGTATGTTGATTTTTCCTTCGATTTTCTTTCTTTCTTTCACTGGCGTTTCGGGGATTTGACACTTGTCCAAAGTACTTTACCCTGTGGCCGCTGTATATCTGGTTTTTCTATGCACACGCACTGCATATTGCCACTTTATTCGTCGACTTTCGCTTGGCTTGGACTTTCATTTGATTTTAGCGGCAAGCTCACAACACCGCACGTTGTTGTTCTCGCTGCTGTTAAGGGTTGTCGTTTTTTATTTTTTATACATTTTGTTTATATTTTGTTGTTTTTTTTTTTATATGGAAAGAGAGCACGTTAAAAAAATTTGCAAAAAAATTCGATCGCTTTCGCGCGTTGTTAATTAAGAAAAATTATATATTACAATAATAATAAGAAAGTGAACACACGAAGAATACAATCGGGGAACCCCGCCAAACTTGACAGAGTGTGTGTGTGTGTGTGAGTGTGCGTGCCAGTTAGCGTGTGTGCGTGCCAAGCACTAAGTGGGAATACTGCTCCAGCTTCCGTTTCCGCTTTGCACTGCACTTCCGTTCAGCTCAGTTCGTTCCGTTCCGTTCCGTTCGGCGCTTCGATCTCGACACGACTCCTCGACTTTTCTTCTTCTGTTTCGGTTTCGGTTCTGCTCTGCCCGCTGCCTCTGCCGCAGTCGGCGTCGCTGTCGCGGTCAGCGTAGACGGCGGCAGCGACGCCGGCAGCGAGAGAGTTACTCACCGTCGGCGCTGTGGAGTTGCAACCTTTGGAGAGTTTCGTTTCGGTTCTCCAAAATGTTGAAACTCTTTTCGAAAAAACCCTTCCTAATGTTGAAAATTTGTTTACATTTTTAACAGAATTTAAATTTTATAAAAAACTCTCTTTCGAACCTCTTCTCCCCGCCTTTTTCTGACAAAAAGCTTTTATTTAAAAACAGCAGTCTAACGGAATGAGGAGTTTTTAATTGGAACAAGTTATTTAGGTTGATTTTTCATTAAACTTTTTTTTAACACTTCTATAAACCTGTCTTATTTTTATCTTAAAAAAGTTTCTGCTCTGAATCTTTTTATTGCCTTACAACGTGTACACTTTTTGATACGTTGAACATTCTATTTCTTCTCTTAAGTTTCTTTGCCATTATTAATTCTAGCACAAATATGGTTACAAATAAAAATAACTGATCAACGAATTATGGATCAACAGGATAAGCCGGGATAAAAGAGCTCTTAAAAATCCAAGAACCAATATAAAAGTTTTTTAAATTGGAAACACCTACGAAATTTCTTTGACAACATAATTTAATAAATAAATATAATTTTCCAAATACTTTCAACATTTTTATAGTCAGTCACGTTAAAATTAAAATTGTTAAGTTCTATTCCTAAAAAAAAATCAAATTGGAAAATGCCTGTCGAAATGCTCGAAGAAACTCGAAAATAACCTCAAAAACTAGTAATCCCAAGTGCAGTTTTTCGAATCCTTCACTCACACACACATGCACCGGCACACACACTGGCTCACACACACGCGGTGCAATAACGGTGTTTCGGCTGCCAAAAAAAGGAGGAAAAAAGCCGCAAGAAGGGAGTTGTGGAGAACTTGAATGACTGTGAATGTGGGCAGGTGGAGAATATGAGAATATGGGAATCTGAGAAGACAAATCAAAGCGCAGACCCGTGAACGTGTGCGAACACGCGGAAAAACAAATGCAAACTGTTTTTGCTGCAGGGAAGCGAAAACGGTAGAACGAAATTCCGCTGAAGAGCCGACGGCGCCGCCGACGTCGGCAGAGCGGCCGAAGTTGAGACGAAGTCTTCGGCAGACAGACAATGGCGGACAGAGCGCGTGAGTTGGAGTGGGAGAGCAGGATGTTCGGCGGCGGCCCGAAGCGTCACGAGCCGCCATCGCGCGCCCTCTGCCGACGCCGCTGCCGCACTCTCTCTCCTGGCAGAGCAGAGCAGAGCTTTCCGAAGATGGCGATAGAGAGAGAGAGAGAGAGCGAGGGAAGAGCGCGCGAGAGAAGTCGTGCTCCTGCAGCTGTTCGTCTTGCTGTTGTTGTTGTTCTTCTTCTTCTTGTGCGTCTGCTGCATTGCCATCAGTAATTGACAAATTGCCTACATTGAAGCGCTAATTTTTTACCAGCGAGAGCAAGACAAAAAAGCTAAAGGAAATACGGCAAAGCCAAACAAATTAGAAATCAAATTTAAATATATTTAATTAAATTTTAAAAAACAGTTACAAGTGTGAGAAAATAAAAAACCACCAAAATTAACTTTCCAAGTTAAGAGTTCCATACATCATAACTTCAGAGGTCAAATGAAATAATCAGTTTTAGAGTAATTATTAACTTGTAAGGTTAAAATAATGAATAGAGAAAATGGCAAAAACTTAAAGAGTTATATTTTCTTTAAAAAAAGTAATTGATCATCTTATATCTCAATCATTGATCGTTTTAAAAAGGCTTTTAATATATTAAATACATAAATAAATGCAATAACTAGAATTTTTGGTCTATTTCTTATTTGTATCTAAGGGCTTAAAAATTCCTCCATCGTCTTTATTAAGCGTATTACTTCCCGGAGGTCCTGGACTCCTGGGGATATGCAACAGAAGCGGGAAAAGCTGCTCGCTAACATTTCGGACTTTCACATTTTGGCCCAGTTAACAGGGATCGCTGGCAGCTGCAGCGCTGTTAGCGCCGGCAGCGCAGTTGACGTCGCCGCCGACGCTGGCCGAAAAAAAACACGTTTTTGTGTCTGTGCAGAAGGCATTCACACCAAAAAGTTTTCGCCGCTTTTCCGTCGCTTTTCGTGCTGCACGTGCTTTTCACGTTTTCCGAACCGAGCATCCCCTCTCTCTTTCTGGCTCTCTCTCTCTCTTGCTCCCTCTTTCGCCCTTTGTGGGGTTTTTGGCCTAGCCGGTTTTTTGCCTTTTTTTGCGGTTAACAAAAATATTGCATATTTATGTGCGTATTTAAAATGAATTATTTTTTTATAACATTTTTTTTTTAATTTTGATTGCTTTTAAAATTGTTTGAGAATGTTTAAAAATTACTCTATAACTTTCGATTTACTAAATAGTTACTTAATAAGAAAAAACCTATTAAAATAACCGAAATAAAAATGTAATTTTATTTTCAAAATTTTTAAAAACATATGCTTTATATTTATGAACAGAATGAGCCGTAATTTTTTGGAATTCTAAATATTTAATAAAAAACTAAAATGAAAATTAATATTTTAATGTTTGAAATATTTTAAATATAAAAACTGCTTTCTCTCTTTGTTGGTTAGTGCACTGTTGTTTTTTAATAATTCTATTAAAATCACAAAAAAAAATATCTTACTGGATAATCTCCATTTGTATTTAAAAGTATGAAATAATCTGAATAGCTGATTTTTTACAACAGCGTGATACTTCTTTTCTTTAAATAAATAAAAATTAAGAGATTGGCAGCACCGAAAAAAAACGTTGAAAAAAATCCTGTTAATTCCCAAAACAAATTCGAAATTGTTTAAAAAAAATAATGCACCAAAAAATGCAGTGCATTTTTCTCACACACACAGACCAGCACACTCACAAAAAAACACAAAAGGCATTTCTTGTTTTTGTTTCTGCTTTATTTAGGTGATGCAATCGAATGCCGCATTCCACACACACACACACAAACGCCATCTCTCACACATACACACTCTCAAAACCACGCACACACAGACAAAAAGACTCTAAAATATTTTTGTTGTTTACTGTTACGCGAAGTTTTCCACTTTTCTTCTTTTTTTTTGTGTTGATTTTAGCACGAATTTTCGAGGTGAAAAGCGGCGCGTGTTAATGCACCACTTCCTGTTGGGCTACTGTACCGTTATTATTTTCTGTGGCATGCCGGCAAAAGAACGGCACTTCTGTCTCTCTCTCCCACTCTCTTTCTCTCCGACTGCGACTTTTCCGCTCACAATTCGCTCAGCAGCGCCGCATTTTAGCCGACTTGCAGCCGGAAAACTGCAATGTGCAAAACTCCGGGCATGCGATTTGAAAATTGTGTCGTCAGCTTGACACAATTTTCCAGAAAATGCGCCTGGAAGAGAGGGCGGCGGGGAGAGGGAAAAAGCCAGCCGAAAAGCAGTAACAAAAACGGGAGCAATGATATAGGGGCTATACAGGGGGTAATCGGGGTAAACCGGGGGGCATATTGTAGCTTTGCAGCGGCGCATTACGAGTTTTTCGGCTTCGGGAACCGGGAACCGAGAATCGGGATTCGGGATTCGGTTCTGCTTTTGTTGATGTAGGTCTGGATTTTCAGGACACGTGTCCCCGGTGGTCCTGCGGTGGGTGGGTGGTTGGGTGGATTGGGTTGCTTTGGTTCTAGCCGATTTTCGGTTCATCTCGAAATCATTTTAATTATTATTTTACATTTCTTTCTCGCATTATTTAAAAAAAAAAACTCTCTTTTTTCGGTCATTTAAATATTTAAATGCATAGGTGTGAGTGTGTGTGTGTGTTACCCTGGCTGTGTGTGCGTGTGTGTGTGTGCGTGTGAGTTCAATAGCATTTTGGGCTGGCAAATAAAAAATAAATAAAACCAGAAGCTTGCAGCAGCTGCTGCTGCAGTGAGAGAGAGCGAAAATGCCTCAGTGAAAGAGAGAGAAAGGCCAGAGCGAGATAGTTAGCTTAACAGTCTGTTAACATTAAGTGAGATTAAGCTAAAAGCTTTTAAAAGCCAACTATAACGAGCAAGATAAGTTTAAATGGCCCTGCAAAGTGATCATCTGCTCTTAAGCGATCTAATATAAAGCTCATAGAAAAATAATGGAAGGAATAGCGAGCCATAACATTAAAGTACAAAATAATTGTGTTTTATAAAATAAAAATTATAATTTCTATATTATTAAACATAATTTAAAATTTTTTAAAATTAAAATATTAAAAAATTTAAAGAACTTTAAACGCTTGCTCAAAACATTATTGATCTTCTTTGTTAGGGTAAGACCACTCAAAATTTCCAACTCAATGTGGAATGAAAGCCACTCGGCGTAGGCAACTTTGTTGTGATCTACCGTTGAGTGGTAGGCTAAACTGAGATAAGATAAGCGAAAAGTATTCGGAAACGATTTTGGCTTAGCCCTGCGGATCGTTGTCGTGTGATCGAATGTGTTTCCAACTGATAAGCATGAGTAAGCGAAATAAAATTAGTATTTGTTTGTCGGGGCAATAAAATACATGATATATGATTGAGAAATGGCAACGGAAGGGGAAGAATTTTTTGATGTATTTTAAATTGTATTATTTATAAAATGATCAAAATTGAACTGTTGTTGAATGCCAATATTACAATACGGTCCCTTAGACATAAATTTGAAAAAAGTTATTGGATCGATAATATTTATTTTTTTAGAAAAAAAAAATTATGATATCGATATATTCGATATTTTTGATATTTTCAGTATAAACATTTTTTAAAAATCAAAGTAATCCATTTTATTGGCTAGACAAAAGAGGTAAAAAGTTATAAAAGGTCTTCTACTATGGTCAACTATAGGTTACTATCGGTGGCAGGGGAATATGCCGGCATACTCCTTCACGGCGATCTCCATGTAGATGGGTTCCGTGTGCTCGTTGGTCAGGACCCGCAGATCGCGATCGCTGAGTCGCATATACTGCTGGCTGTGCTGCATGAAGTCGAGGCAATTGTGCGACTTGTGGATTCCACGGACCTTCATGATCGAACTCCTGGTGATATCGAGTCGCCGGTTGATCACCGTCATGACCACATGAACGGGCCGCGGCAGATCCATGCTGACCATCCACAGGGCGAGGGCATCCTCGTCCTCGAATCGCACCCTCCTGCCCTCCACGCCCTCAATTCGACTCAGTCGATTGCGGCAGATCATCACGAACAGGGGCAGATGGCCATCGAAATGGCGATAGGCCTCCGGTAATTCCGCATTCTTCGCCGGCATAAATCGCTCCGCGGGCAGGGTGCTGGGCCTGCCCCTTTGGCCACCGTACACAATCACCGATACGCAGGTATTCTGGCCCAGCTCAAAGTCCTTGGGACTGAAGATCATCAGCACCCGCTGATCCTCGAATATCTCGCGCAGCTCAATGCCCGATTCATCGAGGTGTTGGGTCAAAAAGTGTCCCAACAAGGTGGCATTCGTTACGCCGGAACATTGACCCTCATCCGCGGGGCACACATACTTCATGGAGTTTGTGAGTACGGGCTTGAAGTTGATTTTCCGATCTCTGAAGTGCTCGCGATATTTCCGATCCGAGGTGGATTGCAGCCAACGCAACTGGCCCATTCGCAATTTAATATCCTCCATCTTCTCCGCTCGACTCAGCTTATCGAACTCGGTCACGAAGTACTGCGTTCGCTCCAGAGTTTCATCGGAGTTTTTGAAGAGTGGCAACCCTGCACAACCGGCATCCAGTCGATCCAACGGCTGAAACCTCAGCTTATCGGCCCGACTATAGAGTCCACCTTGGCCTGGTTTTGCTTTCTTTCCCTGATGCTCCCGACCCAACTCGGATTTTCGCCAGACTTCCGTAAAGGTATCGTTGGAATGCAGTTCAATCGGCGGCTGGTTATCGGAGTCATCGGGATTATCGATATCAGACTTCTTTAGACACGATTTCTTGGGCTCACTTTTGAGCAGAGCCTTCAGGCGCTTATCGAAAACCTCCAACGAAGGGCTTTTTGTATTCCTAAAACCTTTCAGTTGAGTTTCACTGCCACTGTGGCAATCTTTAAGACATCTGGGCGGTAAAAGGGTCTCCAATTTCGTCTCCTTGAAGTTCGAGGTTCGGTGAATTGGAGAAGCCTTTAAGGGATTCCCTCTATCACGATGATGTTTTCTTTCTGGGCTACAAGGCAGCCATCGGGAGTTTAAACACATCTTAGAAACGTTGATTTTCTTTTTAGATGAGCCCGAAGTATTTCCAGTATTTTCTGGGCTTGCTAATCGCTTTTTGCCACCTTGAAATGCACTTCTTGACTCACGTTTCTTCGGAACTTTCTTGGTTTTTGTCAGAATTTTACTTGAACTTTGTACGGGAAATTTGGCACTAGGATAACTAATTTGAGGTTGCTCTGAAAGTTGAACGGATTCTTGGGATGGTATATGAACTATGGAATTTTGCTTGGAATTTTTCTGAGGCAACCGAAATGAGCTGAGGGCAGATTTGAAGTACGAAACAGGCTGACGAGATAGATGGCGGGAAGAACTTATTTTTCTTGGAAAATCTTCAAGAAATCGACTCTGAAACTTGGGCGAATAATGGGCTAGCTCTATAGAGGAAAGCTTTTGAACACTAGGTTCTTCTTCTGTGCCACTTTCATGGGGACTTTCCTGCTTTTCCGAAAACACAGTTAATTGAAAGGTATTTTCCAGGGGGTTCCCCGTATCACTTCCTCTAGGATCCCATTCCTTATCTGGCTCCTTTTCAGTGCCAGTTCGAAAACCACCCAGTATCCTACCACTCATTTCAGGTTCTTTCGTTTCGCTTCGCTGACGTTCCATGGAGTAGAGTTCCAAGGGAGTTAGGGGAATTCCCAGGCACTCGAAATGAAGACTGCGCCGAAAGAGGTCCACAAAGCCAATTCCCGGCTGAGTGCCATCCTCAGAGGATTGCGACAGCTCCTCCTCGATCATCGGGCCTTTGGGAATCTCTCCACCCAACTCGCGTTTCTTCTCCTCAAACGGGATTAAAGGAGGCGGTGGCGGCGGAGGGCGGAGATGAGCCTGCATTTGGTGGACCAACTTCAAGTAGCCATTGGCCAGGTTATCCAACACTCCCTTCACTAAGTGGAAATTATGGTAAGTACTTGATTATTTGATTTATGTATTTAAGTTCAAAAAAACATACTCTGTGGTGGCTTTTCCTCTTCATCGGCATCTTTGTGATTTCTCTCCAATTGGCCATTTCGACTTCCCTGACGGCCACTCTTTCTATTTTCCATCTTCAGCTCAGAATAGCAGAACTTCTTACCCATTTCTCTAGAACGAATTTATTTTGTTTTTGAAAACTTGAAATTTGACCGGATTTTCACATAGATCAAGCAAGAATTGCTTGCTATCTGAAGGCTTAACAAAAAGCTTGTGCGATTTAAACTGAAGCTTTGAAATGTATTACAAAATGATGTTATATAGGTACAATAAGTTTCTTGAAAGCCCAATAAAAAATAAAGAAAATAAAAATTTAACTTAAAAAATATATTTAAAAGTAGATTTAATATCAAAAACAAACTTTGAAATACTGATTAATATGAAAGTGAATATTCTGATTAGGTTCCAAGAACAGAGCATTTAATTTCTAGAAAAACGAATAAAATTATTGAAAAGGCAAAAATACACAATTAAATGTTAAGAAAGTATAAAATAATTTTATAAATATATTTAAAAATAGTAAAGTACTGATCATTATGAAAGTGAATATTCCGATTAGGTTCCAAGAACAGCGCTTTAAATTCCCTGAAAAACCAAGAAAAAACCGATTTGCCACTAGGTAGGATAAGAATTTGTTGTACTTCTTCTGATCGGATTCATTCCTCAATGAATCACTCATCCGGCAGAGATTAAGACCTACGCGCCGACGTTGCCGAGCCGCATAAACTTTTACGGCAGTCGAGGGTCTCGAGAGGGTCTCTCGACTTATCAACAAACAAGGGAACAGGTGTTCCACTAAAAAAAAGAACCGATCGTCGATTTTATTGTGCCGGCCAGCTGAGCCAGCTGCTCCATTTCATCGGGCCAATTCACCCTACGATAAGCCCAAGATACAAGCTCAGGTGTGTGAACAGGTGCGGTTCCAGCTAACAATTAACGAAGATAATATTGTGCAAGAAACTTAAAGTTTAAACTAAGGATTATTGTGCACCTTTGCTGTTAACCAATCTCTCGTATAAAATTTAAAGCAATAAATATTATATCATTTAATAATAATATATTTTAATAATAATAAAAATATAATTACAGAAAATACGTGTATATCAGTACCAAAAAATAGCAAAAAAACTTTAAAAATAGATCTTATGATATAGTGAATACAAAACTAATGATATAATAACAGCTGGTAAACAACAATATATTTTAGTGTCTATTAAAAAATAAGATCTGTTCGAAAACGTTTAAATTGTAACCCATTCAGTTATCATCATATCACATGTCATATCATTATTTTATATGAATTTACAAGATTCCATACATATCCCATCAATCGCCGGAATTGACCTTTAATATCTAATCGTTTTCCGATCACCTGTCGCTATGTGAGCACTATTAATCCCCGTGAAGATAAGACCCCTTGCATACCCATTAAGTCTGCTCCGAACGCGAAATCCAAATTCAGAAGCTTATCGCTTATATGGTGGGCATGGCGATAAGGAAGAAAACCCAAAATGCGGCGAAATCTAATCGGTGGTTCGGAGGTACTCCAGCCGATACTCGATTTCCGATATAGCCTGCGCCACCATTTAATGTGTTAATGGTCAGTGGTTTGGTCTTCAGTTAGTGGCGTGCTGCCGGCGCGACTTGTTTTTACTCTCTATAATTTATTTGATTTTCGAACTTTTTTTTTGAAGTGCCCTAGAATGAAAGTGCTCTTAGTCGCCCTATGGCTAATAGCCGGTGTTTGGTCGCAGGCGGAAGAAGAAGCCCAGTTGGGATGCATTTGGTACGGGCAGAGCCATCTGATAGGTGCCCATTGGCAGAATCTGGCGGATACGCGACCAGCCAGACCGCTGAACAGCCCAACCTCGGAGGCGATCTTTGCCAAGCGCTGTCCTACTCTCTACAAGGAGTACAAGGGTGAAAGTGGTGAAGAGGAGCTGAGTCTCTGCTGCGATGCGGCGCAGATTGAGACCATGGAGGCTGGGTTGTCCCAAGCCGATGGAGTCTTCTCGCGCTGCCCCACTTGCACCAGAAACATGGCCCAGACCGTGTGCGCCATGACCTGTGCCAAGAATCACACGCTCTTCCTCACCGGCTACAATGCCAAGAATCCCAGCGGAGTGGACTATGTGGAGTACATTGACTATAGGATCAAGGACGAGACGGTGTCGCGAATCTACGACAGTTGCGATGGCATACAGCACACGCAAACCGGTCGACCGGCCATGGATCTCGGTTGCGGTGGCTACAATGCCAAGACCTGCAACTATCGGCGATGGTACGAGTTCATGGGCGATGTCACCGGTGACTATGTCCCCTTCCAGATCAACTACCGGTGGTCGGAGGACGCCGAGGAGGGTTCCGAGGAGATATATCTCGAGATCGATGTGCTGAAGTGCGGCGAGAGCTACGAGGATAGTTATGCGTGTGCCTGCATCGATTGCGAGGAGTCCTGCCCGCAGACGGAGGCGCCGACGGGTCCCGAGGAGCTCTGGAAGATCGCCGGCCTGTATGGGGTGACCTTCATCTTGGCCCTGGTCATCGCCATCGTGATTTCGGCCTTTATTTTCTGGGGCGCTTTCAGGGGTGGCATTGCAACGAGCTTTATCTGCATGCCCACCCTGTTCGGGGAATTCTTCTATTATGGTTTTCGAGCCTGGGGCACCTTCTGTGCCAAACACCCCGTCCTCGTGCTCGCCCTCTGCTCCTGGGCCATCGCGGGGCTGAGCTACGGCATCCGGTACATGACCATCACCACGGATCCCGTGGAGCTGTGGGCCGGCGAGGAGAGCCAGACGAGGATCGAGAAGGACTACTTCGACCAGCACTTCGGCCCGTTCTATCGCACCAATCAGATGTTCATCAAGGCCATCGATCAGACATATGTAAGTGTAGAAATCAAAAAATTAAAATTCAGAGCGATTTTAGATAATTCTCTTGGTAAAGTAAAGTTTCGGGTCACCAAACAAGTCGGAAATATAAAAAAAACCTCTAAAAAATATAAGTCTTACTCTGATTATAAGAGAAATTAACCACAAATTCCATATTTATTTATTCAATATTCAATATGTCAACTCAAAATGGAAGTATTATTACTCATGGGTCCCCTTTTTGAACAACAGACAACAAACAAACAAAAAAGCTAAGTGAAGAAACTATTAAAATTCAGAGCAATTTTAGAGAATTCTCTTGGTTAGCTAAGTAAAGTTTTGGGTCACCAAACAAGTCTGAAACACAGAAAACCCCCCTATAAAAAATCTGAGTTAAAAAACTGAGCTACGTTAAACATTTTAATCTAGATTATAAGAGAAGTTAACCACAAATTCAAAGACATTTAATTTGTCAACTCGAAATGGAAGTATTATTACTCAAATTTGGGTCACCATTTCAATCCCCACAGTTCACTCACGATGCTCCCAGTGGCCTGCTGAACTTTGGTCCTGCCTTCGAGTACAACTTCCTGAAGGAAGTCTTCGAGCTGCAGGAGGCCATCATGAAACTGGGCCTGGAGGATAACGAGGGCCTCGACAAGATCTGCTATGCCCCCGTCTCGATGGCCGGCGCAACGGTGACAGTCGACCACTGCGTCATTCAGTCGATCTACGGTTACTTCCAACACGATATGGATCGTTTTGAGAATTCCTATATCGACAGCAATAACTATACGATCAACTATCTCAATCAATTGGAAGATTGTCTTCGGTGAGGAATATATATTTGTATTTTAAGAGCCCGTATAAACCCTATAATCCCCTGATCTTTTAGGGTTCCCATGATGGAGGACTGCTTTGGCACTTATGGTGGACCCATCGAACCGGGCATCGCGGTGGGCGGCATGCCCAAGGTCGCCGTGGGCGAGGATCCCGACTACATGCTGGCCACCGGTCTGGTGATCACCTTCCTGGGTCGCAACCAAAACGACGAGACCAAGCTGGAACCGAATCTCAAGTGGGAGAAGCTGTTCGTCGACTTTTTGCGCGACTACAAGAGCGATCGACTGGACATAGCCTACATGGCCGAAAGGTCCATCCAGGATGCCATTGTCGAGTTGTCCGAGGGCGAGGTGGGCACCGTGGTCATCAGCTATGTGGTGATGTTCGTCTACGTGGCCATTGCCCTGGGTCACATTCGCAGCTGTCGCGGTTTCCTCCGCGAGTCTCGCATAATGCTCGCCATCGGGGGCATCGTCATCGTTTTGGCCTCGGTCACCTGCAGTCTGGGCTTCTGGGGCTACCTGGATGTGACGACCACCATGCTGGCCATCGAAGTGATACCGTTTCTGGTGCTCGCCGTGGGCGTCGATAATATCTTCATAATGGTGCATACCTATCAGAGACTGGATCACTCGAAGTTTGAGACCACCCACGAGGCGATCGGAGAGGCCATCGGCCAGGTGGGCCCTTCGATCCTCCAGACGGCGGGCAGTGAGATGGCCTGCTTTGCCATCGGCTGCATATCGGATATGCCGGCTGTGAAAACCTTTGCCATGTATGCCGCCATCGCCATCCTCCTGGACTTTCTGCTCCAGATCACAGCCTTTGTCGCCCTGATGGCCATTGACGAGAGGCGTTATTTGGATGGGAGACTGGATATGCTGTGCTGTGTGAGGAGCGGTGGCAAGAGGAGCATCAAAAATGATGAGGAGAACGAGGGCGGGGATAGCAGACCCAAGGAGGTCGGCATGCTGGAGACCATGTTCAAGAACTTCTATTCACCCTTCCTGTTGTCCAAGTAAGTAATAATACATTTTTAGAATTTACCAAGACCCGCATTTACCAACTACCCAGCTCTACTACTACTTTTTATATATTTTTCACTGTACTAAGACCCGCATTTACCAACTACTCAGGTCTACTGCCACTGTTTATATATTTTCCACTGTACTAAGACCCGCATTTATATACTATCCTCATCTGCTACCCCCATTTCAGACCCGTAAAAGTGTCCGTGCTGCTGATCTTCACCGTCATCACATGCCTTTCGCTGATGGTGACGCCCTCCATTGAGAAGGGCCTCGATCAGGAGATGTCCATGCCGAAAAACTCGCATGTGGTGAAGTACTTCCGCTACATGGTCGACCTGCTGGCAATGGGAGCTCCGGTTTACTGGGTTCTCAAGCCCGGACTCAACTACTCGGAGCCGCTGCAGCAGAATCTCATCTGTGGCGGAGTCGAATGCAACAATAACTCACTGTCCGTCCAGCTCTACACACAGTCTCGTTATCCGGAAATCACGGCATTGGCCCGGCCAGCCTCCTCCTGGCTGGACGACTATATCGATTGGCTGGCCATCAGCGATTGCTGCAAGTACAACGTCACCACCGGCGGATTTTGTTCCAGCAGTGAGTATATTTGGGCTAAAAAAAGCTAAGAAAAAGTTAATTTTTTGCCTAAAAATTCGAGTCCGTATTTTTCAACCACAAAAAAAGAAATGACGTAAAGCAAAAATTGGGTAAAATAACTATTTATTTAAATCAGCCGAAAAATGCACTGATGTTTATTATTAGGTTGTAAGCTGCTCAAAACAGTACGCCTTTTTGATTTGGGACCATTTTTACCCAAGTTACAACAAAAAATCGATTAGGAAAAATTTAGAATTTGGACCAAAAACCAAAAGCAGTCATTCTTTTAGTTTTTGCCCAAAACATTTATAAAGAGGTCATACGTTCTAAAATGTAATATTTATTCTGCTTAAAAATCTCTAAAACCAGTTTAAAAAAATAATTTAAATAATTTTTCAGACTCGAAGAGCGAGGATTGCCTGCCCTGTGAACGTGGGTTTACGGAGAATGGCCTGAGACCTGATGCCGAGACCTTCAACAAGTACATACCGTTCTTCCTCTTCGATCTGCCAGATGCGGAGTGCGCCAAGGCTGGAAGAGCCTCCTATGCTGATGTGAGTAGAGTTTGGATCGGCAAAAACCACACTATATATAATAAAAAAGTGTTCGCTTAACTGTGGATTAAATGAAATTTAAATTATTTTAAATACATTTCGTTTGCAGGCCGTTATCTACACCATCGACGATGAGGGAATGTCCACTGTACAGGACACCTACTTTATGCAGTACTCCACCACATCGACCACCTCGGAAGAATTCTACTCGCAGCTGCGGGAAGTGCGAAGAATTGCGGGCGAGATCAATGCGATGTTCGAGGAGAACGGTGTGGATGCGGAGATATTCGCGTACTGTGTGTTCTACATTTATTACGAACAATACTTGACGATCTGGGGCGATGCGATGTTCTCGCTGGGCATGTCCTTGCTGGCCATTTTCCTGGTCACCCTACTGATCACCGGCCTGGACATCACCTCCACGTTCATCGTGCTCTTCATGGTCATCTGCATACTCATCAATATGCTGGGCATGATGTGGGCGTGGAGCATTAATCTGAACGCCATTTCCCTGGTTAATCTGGTGGTTTGCGTGGGCATTGGCGTGGAGTTCGTGGCCCACATTGTGAGGTCCTTCAAGCGGGCGGAGGGTTCGGCCCAGGAGCGGGCTCTTCACTCCCTCAATGTCACAGGAAGCAGTGTTCTTTCGGGCATAACACTAACCAAATTTGCCGGCATCGTTGTGTTGGGCTTCTCCAATTCGCAGATCTTCCAGGTCTTCTACTTCCGCATGTATCTGGGCATTGTCCTTATCGGAGCGGCTCACGGCCTGATCCTCCTGCCCGTTCTGCTCAGTCTCCTCGGACCGCCAAACAAATTGGGCAGGAGCTCGAGTGCCGAGCCCATCACACCCACCGCCAACTGATCGGGATTATTTTTACCATATATATCCCTAAATTTATCTTTATAAATATCTACCATATCTTTAGCCTGCTAAGTGTGCCTGAACTTTTTGTGTGTGCCTGGAATCGTGTGTATGCCTGATCTGATTTTTGCCATTAGCGACGAGCCCAAAAATGTCCAAATGGCCGAACAAAATTGATAGAGACAATTAAATCTTTAATAAAATAATTTATGTAAGCCTAAACTAAACTCATTTCTAAATTAAAGATAATTTTTATCCTTCCAACTCTTCCAGGATATTAATTTTTACTTTCAACTTTTGGGATTTCTTTAGGGAGATCTCGTAGAAAAGTGCGTTTTGAAAAGAATTTGAGAGAATTACTTTAAAAGGTCTGCTGCGAGTTATTACTTACTTTTTGTGACCATTTTTGCTTTCATCACCATTTAAATAATATGAATTATATACTCTTATTTGAAATTTTAACTAAAGATTACAGTCCGTTCCAATCGGATTATCATGGCAGATAGCATTTCAGCGGCCTCAGTGATTAATAAAGACTGTTTTTCCCCCACATTTTTAAGCCGTACATTTGGCCCAAGACAATTGTCGGTGGGTGGTCGAGCCCTTCGCCATTCGCCCATTGTTTATCGTCGTCGCACCTTTGCTTTTTATGGCTTAAAGCGACCAACTGCCGCGTGCGGTGTTAAAACAATAAACAAAAAGTCGCTCAAACCAACGATTTGCAGGGCCAACCCCTGTTTATCCATGGACTCCATGGTATCATGGTCTCTGGACTCTCAACTCTCGACTCTCGGAATACACAAAACGTCTTACGCCTTTTGGGCAAAAGTTTGAGCTCAGATTTTTTAATGATATTTCGAGGGCCTTTGGGAGAAAACCCGAATGCCCTAACCCCATAAATTTATGATTGCTGAAAAGTTTTGTGGGTCCTTAGAATTATTTCTTTTCTAAGCTCTAAGTGGAAATAATATTTCGGAGTATTATTATAATTGTTTATAAAAGAATGTAGAGAAATTTAATAATTATTTGTAATCCTTTTTTTTGTTATAAATTCAATATTTAATTTAATAATTACAGAAGTTCTAAATAACTAATTAATTAAAATAAAAATATTATTTTATCAATCTTTTTAGCCTGTTCGTTTCGACTCGAAGTGAATGCAGGAAGTAAGTTTTCCTGATGATGGCTTCCTTGTTTTTAACTGCTCTCGCCGCCTGCTGGCCTGCTGGCCAAAGTCGAGTGTTCTGCGGCTTATGGAAACCAGACACACACAGAGAAAAGCTGGGAAGAAAAGCGTTTAACCCTCAAAATGAGTCGAGTGTTTTTAATTAAAATTAATAAAGTTTAGAGTGGTTTTTCCGCATGCACCGTGGTCAGCTGAAGCCAAGCTATTTGGGAGGCGCTTTCCCCGGCTTTCCCTGGCTTTCCCAGCTTTTCCCGCTTTTTCCAGCTTTCCGCCCCTGGACTCTCATAATCACCTAATGAGAAATGTGTGCGGCATTAAGATTCATGCCTCATCGAGTCGCCGGCACTTGAAAAGGCCGACAATTGAAAGGCATAATTATAAATGTATCAACTAATGCATATGGCAAAATCAATTAGCAATTACCAGTACACTCGCATCACCAGATGAAGTGCAAATTGAGTTGTCAATGTGTGTGTATTATGTGTGTGTGTTTGCACTCGTATTTACGCACATTTCCATGTCTATACGTGTGAATGTTTTTCATCCTCCACTTAATTGCCATTCAAAGTGCTTTAACAATGCCAAGTGCTAATGCCAAAAATGAACCCAATGAGCTGGAACATCTCGGCCAGCAAAATCCAGAAAATAAACACGTGAGAATGGCGCCCAACGAATGGCCAACGAATAATCTTTGAGTATTTTTAGAGGCGAAATGAAAAGCAGGACAAGTGCGCTTCAGTTCGTAAATTGTGCATTTTAAGTGTATTTCAAAATGTTTGCTGAATGGAAAATAAATTAGGGAGAGTGAATGAAATAATTTTGTGATTTTTAAAAATAAATGTTTGTTAGTTTCTTTTTTTTGAAGGTATTTATAAAGTATTTGTGTTTCTTTTCTAATTAAAATATAAATGAGTAAATAAACTCTACAAATTTGATATTATAATTTTGAAAACACCAAATTTATTAAAAAAAAAAATTGATTTAAAAATTATATTATAATATATAATGTAAATTATAATATAATATAATGAATTAATAAATAATTTTAAAAAATATTATTAAAAAGTAAATAAATAATTTAGAAAATACAAAATATATGTTGCTGTCTATAATGAAATATATAAGAATATAAATAAAATAAATTTTTTTATATAAGAAAAAAGAATAAATACAAATATGTAAGTGATCGACATTCTAGAACAAATGAATTATTGTATTTTAAGTACAAACTCCGTAATTCTATAGGCCATCTTTTAATTCAAAATTTAAAATACAAAATTCAAAATTGGAAAATTCAATGGCACCCACTTGGCCGACCCGGAATCATTTAACACCAGTTATGATCTCTCCTCCGGGCACTCGAGATACTGGAAAAGCAAAAAGAAAAGCACACATAAACAGCATGCAAATGAATAATCCATTAGGAGCATCTTTGCAGACTCACATAAATCATCCGCCGTGTGAGCAGACAACACATTTCGCACAGAAATTGAGGCGAATCAACGAATTAATGTGGCAAGTGTGGCAATAAAAATTTAAATTAATTGATTTTCCGCTGGCCCCGAAAAATGCAGAAGGCGAAACAGAACAGAGCAGAACAGAAAACCGAAAACCGAACAGATCTTTGCTATTTTCGCACGATTTGTGGCCAATTTAGGCGAACAGGCTTGCCATAGGTCATAAAAGGCCAAAAGCCAGGACTCTTAACCAGGTCATAACTCACGAGTGCCGACGAGGAAGGCATTAAAATAAAATTTGCGCATATTTATTAATCGGTTATTGGATATACATATGCGTGGATATGCGTGGAAAGGCCGGAAAAGCCGGAAAAGCGTATTTATCTGCATCTACCCGTATCCGTGTATCTGTATATCTGCAATCTGCCGAAACAAAAACTCGATTTCCAAAAGGGAAACTCACTTGGCTGCCCTTTGGGGATTGCCTTTCATTTTCAATATTTTTTTTGTTTCGCGGCACTTTGAATAATGCGTTTTTTAATTAGTTGGGGAATTTCGATATTCGTTCGAGAGTGAAACGGAAATTGCTATGAGATAAGGAAACATGGTGGTTGCCCTTGCTTTTAATTTTTTTTATTTTCTCTAATTATTGATAATATCGATAGTGACCAATATCGATAGCTCTTTATTCACAACCCTATTTTTAACGTTTTATTTCCCCACTTTGCTTAATAAAAAAAGACACTTAGAAGCTAATTTCAGGTCGTGATTTATAATCTTTTTATTTTTCAATTATTTCCCAATTAGCAGTTGAATGTGCTTGGGATTATAAAAATATATTTCAGATAAACATACATTTTCTACTGGGCTTAATTAATGCAATCAACCAAAGGGGCAAAGTCAGTTGTTGCATTAGGGTCAAATGACAGGGCCTAAGCCGTACTAAGCCATTGCCATTGCTGGTTTCCCCGTCTGAAATTGGTTTTTAATACAAATTAATTACGAAAGAGAAAATTCAATTTTTAGGAGTTCCACAATCTGCCAAAACCAAATGCGAAAAAAAGTTAATTAAAGCAGGGAGCGCGCACACACACACACACACACAAATTTTCAATGATGGAGATGGAATATTTAATTTATTCATTCGCTGACATAAGCCCGGGTCTACGGACTCTGGACTATGGACTATGGACTCTATGGCTAACCTAGTCCATAGACGAATCAGTAATTTATAAACGTGCTTATAAGCCGCAATCCAATTCGCAATTCGCGTTTTGCCTAAAATTACACTTGCAGCAGGCCAAAAACCCATTTTCAACAGCTTTGCCCCCTTTTCCCCTGGTAAACCCCTAAACCCCTTTTGCATTTTAGCCATTTAGCTCGTTTTTCACTAGCCTGAAATGTTATCAACACTGACAAAACTCAAAAACTGGCCAACTGGCCATGGCCATGGCCGTGGAACTTCGTTCTAGGGGGATCTCCCAGCCCCCCGTCGAAAAAAAAATTATAAAAGGGGGCTTGGCCAAAACTGAAAGCTGAAACTGCAAACTGCAAACTGAAACTGAAGCCAAGCGAAAGCGCGTAAACGAATGAGCTTGGTTTCCACTTTTTTTACCCCTGCTAGTTCTGTTTTTATTTTCGCCTCTGAAATTAAATTGAAAATTCATCAAATTTTAACCCTCATCAGCAGGCCAATAATTATGATAATTAATATATGAGTTAATAAAAGGCTAAGTCAGTTCATAAATATTATTTACTAAAAAAGGCAATAAATAAGTATAGATATTGTTATTTTTAGTTTTTCAATATGTGAATATGTAGAATTACCTAATAAATATTTATTAAGTAACTGCTAGAAAAGGTTTTAATAAAAATGAGTAAATCTTTGAATTATAATTTAAAAATATAAATAAATAAATATAAAAATGCGTGATATTTAACATTTAATTACGTGATTAAATTCAAGATGCAGCAGTTTAAAATGTAGAATAATGAATGAAAATTTCAGGCAGCGAGGAAGAAAATAAAGAAAAGTAAGGGGAAACTTTGTGTGGTAAATGTTTGCCGGATTGTCTTGTGGCCGGCAGTCGAGTGACAGGCCAATAACAGAAATCAAACAAATTACTGCAGATTAAATCCGAGTGGAGATGACACCGTCGCCTCTCAGTGGGTTAATGTTGTGCGAGTGTGTGTGTGGGGGTGATTGTGTGGGTGTGACAGCAATTTCCAACTAAATTATAACAACAACCTCAACAAATGCGCACAATTTTGAGAAATTTCATGCAAAATGCAAGAGAGCCAGGACGCAGGACACAGGACATGCCGCAAAAAGCGGCAGCAACAAAGGCATCAGCATCAGCAGCTGGTTGCATTAAATGGCGCACGTTTTCCCCCCTTTTGGAAAATTTCCACCCCCTTCCATTTCCACCCCGCTGTCCAACGAACATAACGAAAATGTCAAACACACATTTGACCAACACATGGAAAAGCCTGCACAGCGTGAGTTCAACAGCAGCCCGGAAAATTCCCCACCGTTCTAACTGCATTGTCGTCAGCTGGTGAAAATTGGTGGAAAATCATGGTGTTGCTGTTGCTGCTGGCTCATAAATGCCATGCAAAATGGCAGCCA